TCTGCCTCCCAAGTGCTGGGATTAAAGGCATGTGCCACCACACCCGGCCAGGGGTCACTGTTGATTTCTTTTAACTGACACTCCTATATATCTTTACCCTCCTTTTTTTTAACCTTTAAAACCAAAACACACTAAGGCAATGTGTGACATTTTTCTCCTCCATACAAGTGGTAACTGATTTTTGATTGAGCTGTCATGTAGCCAAACCAAAGTATAAAGGGAACAGAAGCTGGGCATGGTGGTACACGGCTTTAATCCCAGCATTTGAGAGGCAGAGACAGGCAGACCTCTGTGAGACTGAGACCAACCTGGTTTACATAGTGAGTTCCAGGTGGGTCTGGAGTATGGGAGACCCTGTCAAAAAGAAAAAAAAAAAATTGACAGAAATTTTCAGGACTATTGGTAAATGCATAAGAAAATACTAGAGGTAAATGCAGAAGAAAAAGCAGGAGCTGCAAAAAGTGAGACAAGGCACACTGAAACGGAGAGAATGCCTTTAGAACACAGAAGCATGCTGAGATAACACAAGAAAACGCCTGGCTTAGGGATCAGTTTCCTCTCCCTGACAAGCTGGTATGGCTGTGACTCCATGGGCTGCACTACTTGCATTCAGAAACATACATGAGTTAACTACATGTAAACATACAATTGGTACATACTTAACGATCCGCCTGATCTTTCTGGGTGCTATTTAGAACTAGTTTTTCTTCCTGAAAGCACAGTAAATACTGCAGGAATTCAAGAATGACCCAACATATTGCCATTGGGTTTCCCAGAGCCGCACCGTTGGCATGCCAGGTTTACTAATTTATACTAGGCCCCAGCTGCTTATTCCCATAGACTACCATTGTAACCAGCTACACTGACAAGAAGAGACTGACCTTAAGTCACCTCACTGCCTAACAATGTGGAAAACCTTTTAGCACAGCGGTTTCCATTTTGGCTGAACATTAAAATCATCCGAAGAGCTTTCAAAACTCTAAAGGCCCAAGTCAAACCCCAAACCAAGTATGGCAGGATATCTCCGGGGTGGGACCAGGCACCTATATTTTTTTAAAGTCCCCAGTTGTGGTTGAGACTCGCTATCTAGGACCACTCTTTAACTCAAATGATTTCTGCCCCAAGTCAAAAAGTCAACACAGCTGAGTACACCAGGTACAAGGGAATCCCAAACACCAGGATAGCACAGGGCCCTGGGGTCCACCAGGGGTTACCCAGCGCCTTACGAGAAAGCAACGCTTTCAAATGGTGTACCCTTCCAGCCAAAATAAGTTGGCTAATTTCAGAAGTGTGTATTTCAGAAGTGTATATTTCAATGTGTATATTTGACTTTGATCATTAAGAAAATTTTTCAGCCGGGCGTAGTGGCGCACTCCTGTAATCCCAGCACTCGGGAAGCAGAGGCAGGCGGATCTCTGTGAGTTCAAGGTCAGCCTGGTCTACATAGTGAGTTCCAGGACAGCTGGGGCTACAGGGAGACCCTGTCTAAAAAGGACAAAAAAAAAAAAAAAAAAAGAAAGAAATTTTCTCCCTTCTTTTTTAAAAAGGCAAATTTCCTGGGAAGGAGGATGTGCACACGCCCGCCCAACATAAAGCCACTGCACCTGCTGAGGGGCACCGGGCCGCACCTGCCGCCGCGCGCCACTCCTACCTTCCAGCAGCTCCTCCAGGCTGGTGACCTTCCGACTGCCATCGATGGTGTAGATGGTGCGGACGCCCTGAGGCAGGTTCACGTTGTCAGACAGCGAGCGGGTGAGCTCCATGAGGAGCGCATCGAAGGACCGGAAGCGGTCGCTGGAGATGGCAAAGACCAGGCCTTTGAAGTAGCGGTCCCCATTCCGGTAGAAGCGCACCTTCTTGGCCTTCTTCTCGGAGCTGAGGGCCTGCAAGGTCCGCGTGCGGTAGAAGCTGCAGTGAGCACTGTGCGCCGGGCTGGGGATGAGCCCGTTGCCCCTGGGGCCGGAGCCGCTGCTGCCCCCGGAGGAGCCGGGCGCCCCTCTCCGCGAGCCTGGCCGGGGTCTTTTGTCCCGTTCCTCAAAGTGCTCCAGCTCAATGCTCCGGGTGCTGGCCATGGCGGCTGCTAAGAACTCGCCACAAATAAATAAATGAGCGTCCAGCCGGCCGCGCACCCCTTGCGCAGCGCTGCCCCGCGGTGAGAGCGCGCAGGCCTTAGAGCAGCGGAACACCTGGCCCGCGCATCCTGCCCGGGCTCACAGGTGGCCTGGCTAACCGTGGCCGCAGCGCCGCCCGCTCCGCGTCGCCGCCAGCTGGGGAGCCCCACGCCCCCCGAGCGCCTCCTCCGCCGGCCACGCCTAGCAACTGCGTGCCCGGAGCCGCCAAGTTAGGGCACCCAGGCTCGCCCCGCAGTCGCGGGCGCACACAAAGCTCCACGCCTCGCGCGCTTCCCGGGCGCGCTGTGGGCAGGAAGGACGCGGAGGGGAGGGGCGCGATCGTGGGCGTCACGGGCTGCCGAAGGTCCCGGGTCCCCGCAGCCTCGCGCGCCCGTGCCCAATTCACGGTCCGGAAGCCCCGGGCTTCTCAGGCCGCACCGCAGGCTGCGCTCCACGGAGCCCGACCCAGCAGGAAGAGCGCGGCCGCCTCCCACGCCCGCACGCTCGCGAGCATCAGTGCTGTCGGCCGCCTGGCAGGGCCCGGGCGGGGGACGCCGCCGCCTGTCCCCTAGGGATGCCGCCACCTCCGGGAGAGGGAGGTGGGGAGGAGGCGGCGGCGGCGGGGAGCAGATCCTCCGGGTCCCGGGCGCCCCGCCCGCCGGGCAACCCGCGCTGCGCGCTCCCGGCCGTGGCCGCGCCTCGCTCCGCCGCCTCGGGGCAACGTAACCTCGCAGGCCAAAAAACTACAAAGGAAGGGGACTCAAGGGCAGCTAGCACATCCCTACCCGCCGCCAGAGAGGAACCGAGGCCACCCTGGGGCGGAAATCCTAAACTGCACCGAGTTTGAACGTGCGATTTATTTTTTTAAAGTGGCCCTGTGCGTTGCTTTATTTCAAGACCCTTGATAGAACACACACACCAAAAAAACAGCCTTCACACTTTCCATTGCAGATTCGCTAATGCGGTAGGCCCGTAACTTTGAATGAGTAAGTGACCAGAAGTTAGTGGGTTTTGGGAGGTTGATTTATCCAGATATTTATGGAGCGCTTTCCTATGCCTGGCATGACGTTCATCACTGGGGATGCCCAAACAGATGGACGAACCCCTTTGCTTTTCCCCACACTCAGGTTCCATCTGCGCTTACAAAAGAGCAATGGCGTGTAAACACCCATTATACTGAAAAATCTTATTAGTGGTGTCTGGTCCACAAAAAAAGTGTTTTCAAAAGGGGTTGTATAATAATCGTTTCCCTTTGGCCGTTAGAAAAAGATGATGCTCAAAAATGTTTGGCTCTAATCTGACACACGAAACTTCATAATTAATTAGCACCGGGTGCGGCGCTAGACAGCAGTTCTGAACTGACCTTGAAAGTATGATGACATAAAGGCTTTGCTCAAAATGAGCTAATGAGTCCTGGAAGAAATGAACAAGAGGTGGGCAGAAACACAATCAGCTTTCAGCACCATGAAGTTGGTGCCCCCTGTGCACCCGACCTAACCTCCATAGAGCGATGCTCTACAGAGCCGTGTCCCCGCGGAGTATAGGTTTTCTGCTCTCAATGGGTAAGTTTCAAACTGAGCAGTTTGGGGGACACACCTGAGCATACTTGACTTCTAGAAAGAGAATTAGAGCATGCTGGAAAGTGAGGGATGATAATTCAATATAGGGTTTTTTAGGGGGGAGTCCTGCCAAAAACCTAACTTGGGGGGCCTCATCAAACCAGGTTGTGCCTCTACCCCCTGCACCCACAGTTTAATCTGTGTAAATACCCCTCCCTCAACATTCTAATGACAGAGATAAAACATAAAAGGAGAAAAGGAATTTGGTGTGGCCACAGCTGGAAGGAACAGCAGACCAGGATCCTGTACTCTGCGTTCTGGAGACAGCAGCTCCAGGATTGTGTACCAGAAGCAGGAAGGCAGGAGGGAAGAGTCATGACAGGAACTCTGGTCAGGCTGTGGGCTAGGTGATCATCATCTCAGGTCTGGTTCTGCAGGGTCCTGCTAGTGCTGGGGTCCCGATGATTGTTGGCGTGGAGGAGAAACTCCGTTTCCTTGTTGTAACAAACTATCTCAAATTGAGTGACTTGCAGCAATACCTATGTGGAAGCTGGAAACAGGTGCAGCTGACCCCTGGCTCTCCTGTGATTGTCGTCAAGATGTTTTACTGGGGCTGCAGTCATCTGCAGGCTTGGCGGATCTGGAATGTCTGCTTGAAGCATGACTGTCCCTAGGAGACCTCACTTCCATTCTGGGTATATTTGTATAGAGTTGCTTAAGTATCTCCTCAACATTTCAGCCGATTTCCTTCAAAAGGAGCATTCAGAGTGACTGCCACAATGTCTTTTATGACATTGCCTTGAAATTTGTACACCTAATTCTTACAAGTTCTCAGCTGTGTGACTGCCAAGAACCAGGGCTTATCTGGTAGTCAATTACCAAAGGCAATTTGAGGTAATTAAGGTCATTTGAGGATCTGTTCCTCAGGGGTAACATGGGCTTGGGAGGAGCTCCTGGCTCCTTTCTTTTACCAGTTCCATCTATGTGAAGATCAGTCAAAGGTCCTTCTTGACCATGTCTGGCTTCACTTGGAAGCATGAATGAGATATTTCCTCTGAATTGACCCTCCTCTTTGTAGACTGGACACTGGTTCGAGTCCATCTCGTGGGGTCTCCATGCCCTCCCTGAACAAGAGGACAGGTGACTCACCACAGTTACAGGATGTTTTGAGAGATGTTCCTTGGTCCCCTGGAACTTAGTCGGCCTTGGAGGGCAAGGGGCAAAACCTGTCCTTTAAGTCCCTCTGACCACATTAGTGGTCAAACTATGGCTGTTAGACAGCCAATAAGGTTAGTTCCACCAGTCTGGTACTTTTAATTACCATGTGCTATGTAGCTAAGGCTTGGGTAAAAGACCAAATATTCTCGGATAAACCTTGACTAGCTATATATTTGGTTCCTTAAACTAGCTGACTAAACCATGATCATAGAAATTTTAAAATTATGTGTATATTATTTTTGTTTCATCCTTTATGTATCATAACAAACCTAAACAGACAT